TATGTTAAAAATATTACAACATTTGTTTGTGAATATAAATTTGGGCGTTAAGCACTATAATTATTCATGTCTTGGGGAGGCGAATGCGGAGTCGTATCGCATATTCAATGAAATTGTGTTTAAATTCCTTCACTCACCCCGACGGAATGAGAAGTTAATGCAAGTTGAGTCAGATGCGAAATGTAGAGAAATTGCATCACTAGCAGTAATTACTAGAGCAAAGTTAAGTAATGGGGAAATTTCCTTTCCATTGTTCCGAAAGTAATTAAAACCCGTTAGACTCAAAGTTATCACAGTCTTGGCCAGTTCAACTTTTTAACTGTGGAAGAAAATCATCAACTTCCCCTTAAGGAAAAATCTATTTAGGCTGTATTTTTGTGCCTGATTTTTGGTACTTGTGGGCAATTCCTTATTCGACCTTCCTGAAATGCCAAGAAAAATTAAACTGACATGGATGGAGGATGTTGATGGACTTTTGCTAGAGAATGAGAGGCAAACACGGAATGAGAGAGTAATGGATGGGAATGATTCCGTCAACATTGTAGTTGCTTTATGTAAGACTGGTTCGGGCAAATCTCTTTCACAGCAGATGTAATTGACATCTTACTCATTAGTGGAAATAAAAGGGGTATAATCTAAAACATCCATCATTTTTATACCCCAGTTATGAAAAGGCAGGTGAACAGGCTGTCGTCTTTTCATGGTTGAATGTTAGAGATGCAAATGTGCTGGTGAGACGCTCTTACACGTTAGCTAAAATCGGGAATTACTGGTCATATCTTTGGAAATGCAAAATATTCTTATCACAATTCTAGAACTTGCTAAGGAAATTTAGTTTGCTGTTAATAAAATTTCCCTTCTACAGTTGCAACAACAACTGCAGGACTTGACCCGTCTTCGCTTCCAGAATTCCGAGATGGAAGTGAGAATAAAGTCACTCCAACGAGAGCTTGACAGCAAGACTTCACGACTGAATGCACTTGAAGTTGCTCAGGTACGATCAATTTTAATCCAACACCTCCCTTTCGGCACTGCTAAGGGTAGCAACTTTGATCTCCAATTGAATTGCCCCATTGATCATTTTGACAACAACAAAAAGGGTAGTTATTTCCAGCAGTAAAATTAATGAAACGCAAATGTTTGAACTATGTTAGATGGTTATATAACTTAAATGGGCCTTTGTTATCGTGTTCTCGTCTCGATTTGCAAATGCAAAATTGCTAATGAACGCAAGGCGACAGTCTTCTGTGAGGTCCTGTGGCGCCCACCCTCGGCATTATGAGCGTAGCTAGGTAATTTGGACTTCCAAAAGACGGTACATGGCAATCTATTCAAAAGGTCGCATCATTGTATCATTTGTTCCCTTTGTGTTGGTAATTTTGCCAGTTAATTTATGTCAAAGAGACATCTTTTTTGCGTAGCCGTGATGAACACACTCATCGGTACAACATGCATGCTAAAGCGATGTCAAGGAAAAAAGCGGAAATTTTTGTTCACGTAGCTTCACTCTCGTAGTCGATGAAATTTTCACAGAACTGTCCTTCAAGTTGTGCAATACAACTTCAATTCTATGTACACTCTACTTTATGAGATGTCTAGGTTTGATGATGTGGTCTTTGTCCACAGTGTATACCTTTAACACCAACGGGGAATTTCTTAAATGATTTGTTTAGAAGTTTGGTACTTTAAAATTGTCTACTCTAAACTCACCCCACACTCTACAGTTCCAATTTTAGTTCTAAGCATTTCATAGCATTATTTATCGCGTCTACTGTCTGTACTCCTGAAAGGATGTCCTTCTTTTCTGCACACAATTTTACATCAGTTAAGGCGAATAACTCCTACCACCCAGGAATTGTGT